AGCCAGCCTTGCTGGCTGGGGAATTCTGGGAGTTGAAGTCCACCCATCTTAAAGTGGCCAAGGTTGAGAAACACTGCCCTATAGGGTTTATGGCCCAGATCGGCCATCCCCATTGGATACATGAGGCCTGATGTCATAATGCTTGCCCTGCAGGGTCCAATAACATCGCCTCCCATGGAAGCCTGCAGAAGTTGCTGCTCAGCTGTAAATATGGAAAGGAGACAACCGCAAGATTTATTGCTATTTCAAACTACAAATATAATTTGGTAGAGTAGAAAGATGATGTTGGGGGATCCGCAAGGAGGGTAGAGAAAGTCAAGACAGCATTTGCCACCGCACAATCAAAGCGCCACCCCTTTTTCCGTGCATCGCAACACACATAAAAAAAGGGGGTGGGTTTTGAGTACACAGTTGCGGCCACCAACTTGAATCCTTTGACCCACTTTGTAGATGCTTCTGCCCTTCAGCTTAGTGAAAATGACACATTTATGATTCTTGGAAGTATTTAATGTAAAGCATATCTCAAAGAGTCTCTCTCACACATACCCACACCCACACACAAAGATCTATGGACTATGGGCTGATACATAGGTATGGTTTTGACTTGAAGTTGGCAACTTAAAAGCCCAATTTACACAAATTGCTTAAGCCAGCCAACCATAACTCTTCCCAGTCTTCTGGCAGCATATTGTCCCCTTAACTGTATCATGTTCCCTCGTTCCTGGCAGTCCTGCTTTCTTTTCTACAATCCTACTGACTTTTTCATGAGACTTGACAGGGGTGTGGTACGCACTGGCCAGGCAGGCAGTGGTGGGTATACCCAGTCAACTTGGGCACTACAGTCAATCAGGGTTCGGCAGAGGCTGGCAAGGTGTCTTGAAGCTGCCATGGGTTGGCAGTGAATTATATTATGGACCACCTTATCTTTTCAGCTGTTCTACAATTCCATCTTTTTTACTTGGAGGACTGATTGGGGGGAACATGGATATTCTCACAGTTGAATGGGCAGATCTTTGTAATATGGCAGGACAGATCATAAGGGTGGCCCAGTACAATTCTGAGTTGACTGCCCCCAGTCCTATACCAGTGCTATCTGGATTAGTAGATTCACTCTATACATAGCCCTTAACTTTAACCTGTTCTGTGAATGAGGTTGAAATGATGATGTTACATGGGTGAATGTCCAGGATGGACCTCCATAAATCCACCAGAACTCTGCCAACATCTCAGACTCCAAGCTTTTCATAGAGCACCATTTTATTGTGCTTTTATTACACTGCCACTTAGGAAGAGTCCAGTAAATGTGTGAATCAACCCTATATACCCACCTGGAATGCCATTGAATTGGCTGCAGCCAAGAATATTCGCAGAGGCAGCCTCGCTTTGTAAGATCTGTGACTCCACAAGCGATGGGCCCCTGCTGTCACACCCAGGGCAGTCACCACGAAACATATGTATGCTGAAAACATGAAGGAAAAATGAAATAAGAGAGGGAGGTTACGAAAGTACCAAACCTCTGTGCGGTTGTTAAACTACAGACTACCAATGCCCCTATAAGGAGCACATAATACTGTGCTGATACTTCTAAGTTAACCCATCTTGCACATTCGGCTGTCAAAAAACTGCACATTGTATAACATGTAGAACTTGGCAACCACATTTCACAGAGGGTTGAAATTTAGACAGCCTCCCTCCTTCTTAGCAGTGCTCCTTTTCCTTCCACTTGTTAGAAAATTCTCCATGCCTACAGCTTCCCCTCTCACCAAGGCAGCAAACATTGATGCTTAAAACAGGATTGTTCCTTGACTCACCTAGAAATTTCCACCCACAATACGTTTCCCTCTATCTGAACAAGGAACATAATGCCACTGTGTTAATTCCCCATGCAGCTATGTTTTCTGTAATGAAAATCTATCTTCATAATATTAGAATAGAATATATGCCTGTACCTCACAGCAGTTTCAATTAAAGCTACTGTTTACAGGTTTGTATTTCACCCTCTTTGGCCACCTAATGCGAAGAGAGGACTCCTTGGAAAAGACCCTGACGCTGGGAAAGATTGAAGGCAAAAGGAGAAGGGGACAGCAGAGGATGAGATGGTTAGAGAGC